TGTGCCACCCACTCTAGAAATGCAATGCCCCCCCAGTAAACGTCATATCGCTGCAATTATTGGTTAAAACCAGACAGCCAATTTTATTACCCCATTTCCATTCCGGAATAAAAGTGCTTTGTGGGGGTGGTGGGGCACAGAAATAATTAGTTTATTGACTTTAGGGAAAGTACATTACGACAGTCTTTTTCAACTAGAGGACATTTTAAGAATCAATGGGTAACGAAAAATGATTTCGCGAAATTAGCCAACAATTACATGACCCAATGATTTGGCCAATGCGACGATGAATATTCGATTGAAAAAGGGAACAAAATGGGAATCATGGAATTGCACAGAAATCGATGGAATAAATTAGGAACCTCGATGTACGTCTGACATTAAAGTGCGTGTATTACAACAATTGACACACTGTATCTTGAGTCCACAGAAATACGCCCTGGGCAACGTATACTCATACGGCGAAAAGTCTATAAACCGGCAGATGACTTCTGACTTCAAACTACCATCACCCCACTGTATGCCTCGACTTCTCACTTCAAACTACCATCACCCCACTGTATGTCAAATTCGACCCCTTCCACAGTACTCACCTCACCTTTGCTCTACTGTCGACTTCTTCCACAGTACTAACCTCACCTTTTTTCTACCTATTTCTCACTTCAAACTACCATCACCCCACTGTATGTCATATACCTCTGACTTCAAACTACCATCACCCCACTGTATGTCATATTTCACCACTTCCACAGTACTCACCTCGCCTTTTTTCTACCTTCAGTTGACTCTAGCTACCATGACCCACTGTATGGCATATTAGTCTACTTCCACAGTACTCACCTCACCTTTTTTCTACCTCTGAGTCTGTATAATTCCACAGTAATCGCCTCATCTTGAATTTTTCTCTACCTTTGTGTCTGTCTCTTTTATATCTGTAAATCGCTCTTCTGTTCCCCCTCTCCACTTTTTTGACCTTGTCCGCTCCTTCCCTCTTTGAAGAAGGCAGTCAACTAAAGGTTTAATGATAATTACCATAAACCCTGGCATTTGATACAAATAAATATATATTGTTTCTACAGAGAACACTGATTCATTGGTCACATCCTTGATGTTTTCATATGTTTGAGCTCTCCAATTAGCAGTTCATGGTCTTAATAAATGACTCCGCGACTTTTAATGGGTATACGATCAAACAACTTCCTTAGCGCGCATATACATATGCACAAATTATATCGACCAGGTTTACTGTCACCATCCTCTTGCCTCCCAATTCTTCCATCACCCACCTTCTATCTTCCATTTCCAATTTTTCAGTATACACGTGGTACAACTTGACTTTTGACTTTCTTATCCGGGAGGCTTCTGTATCGTGTTAGATTTAGGAAGTTTATTGAATTTTTTGTGGAGACATCTCGTCTAAAGTAACTTAGGTGTCCGAACCAAACTACTCCAACGGTAATTCAACCGGCTGCTTCAATTCATGTAACTTTCACCCGTTACTCACCGCAAATTTAATGTTATATGACTATTAACCATCTCAATCACGGCACTTATGTATACCCTTATGGACTCCTACTAACCGTGTGCTTGATTTATGAAAAAGTGGTAATGTTACCGCATTTGATTGAAGTAAATATTGTACTCCTCTATGTTTACTCTTAAATTGTATTCCAAAAATGAAGATACCATATTGAAGTAGCACAGCTTTGTTCATAAATATGACTTACTTCAGGACGGGTAAACTGTCAAGTGGTTTTTTAACCGCTCAGGTATTAAGCATTGGTCTACTAAACTGTCAAATTTTAATATTGAGGTGTACTTTACCTATTCATCCTCAACTGAATCCGTGGACCATATTGAGAGATTATCACGGAGGAGTTGAAGAATGATACAAACTTCTGGTTGACCCTCCTTCTTAGTCTCACTAAGATTGGCAACAGCCTCCTGGAGGGTTGCATGAGCCATGTCACAAGCTGCTTTGTGGTCATCGGCGATTTCATAGAGGAAAACTGAGTGATTCAAGGCCAAACCAAGACGCACGGGGTTGGTGGCTGAGAGTACTTCAGAAGCAACTGAAGAGGCTTCATTGTAAGCCTCGCGAGCTTTTTCTTTGAACTCCTCATTTGTCGTGTCTACTTCTGACTGATAGCGCAAATAATCCCCTCGCCTAGTAAACGAAAT